GGGGGGGGGGGGGGGGTTTGTGGGGGGACTTGAAGTCCACGCAACTTAAAGTTGCCAAGGCTGAGAAACACTGCTCTGGAGGCATGCTTAATCAACATATATTGATGGAAGTGCTTTCCTCCTCATGCATTTTCTCTCTCATACAGACAGGCAAAAGAGAGAGTGAGTAAAAACAGAAAGGGGAAAAAGCTATTTTTCAGCAGAATAGATTTCTCCTTCTGCTGTATTTGATGGGTTTTTTATGAGTGGTCTTGGACCGTAAATAAACTTCAAACTTCAATTTCCCCTTCCCCCACCCTGCAAATGAAGAAAGGAAATCAATCTATTGGCTGGCATAGGGAAGAGTTGATGCACTGAGCTGCACTGCTTGGCCTTTCAGGAACCTAGTGCCCCTGGATGCTGTGTTAGGCTATTTCTCCAGTTGTGACTTACAGGATCTTCATAGCATCACCAAGCCATCACTGAAGTGATATGAAGTCTGTACTCTTCATTGTTATTTTGGCTTATGATGGTTGGATGACTCTAGATGATGCATAAAGTCCTTGTGGGGAAATGGCCAACCACAGCAACAGAAAAAATGATAGCACAGCCAGCCTTCTCTATTTGCTAGAGAACTTTTCTTTTCTTCTGTTCTTGAAATTTGTTTTAGTTGCAAAGGCATCTAGAAGGGTCTAATTTCTCCTCCCTGACAGTTTCTAAAATGGATCTTCTCACCTGTTTGAACAGGTACAAGTTCTCAAATTTCTTGATACACTCACTGAGAAGGAGGACCTGCTGTATGACATCATGAATTGTCAGGTAAGAAGTTGGGGTGGGGTGGGAGAAAGCAGGACCTAGCAGGAATTTCTGGGAGCTCCAGAGAGGTTTGGGGGTTGGGATTTACTTCTTTATAAGATCTGAATACATAGCAACAGCATATGTAAGCTTTGACTTCCTAAGATCTAGAAATCTATGAAATATTGGAAGCAATAAATAAAGATTTGAAGGCCCTGCTTTATGGCTGAAATTAGTCACAAAGCCTTATAATCTATGGCAAATCAAAACAGTTGTCAAATAAAAGCCAAGTCAGGAGCAGAAGAAACAAGAATGCCCATTTGTTACACCATACAATCAACAGTCTAGTACATGGTCTGAGTTTGCAATAAATACATTTGGTCAATGACAAACAGCATTGGTTAAAATCTCAGGCAACTGAACAAGAGACTGCAGTTCTTAACAGTGAGAATTTAGTGAGCAGATTCAAATGCCAACATAGAGATATTGTTTTAGAGGCCTAGATATTGCTCATCTCATCAAATTATGGGGAACTTCCAGATCCTACACAGCCTCTGTTTCAGCTTTTCCTAAATCTGAACCTTCATCTGTTGACATTCTCTACATTCTAAAGGGGGAGGATAGGCAGGGTCAAGCACTTAGTTATCATATTCTTAGCATCCAGCTTGACCCAGACTTGTCCCTGTCTACCCATCATGAATATGCTAGTTCCTCCTAGCCCTGATCCAGAAATAGCTCTTCTTCTCATCTTTTTCTGAGATAAAATAGAGGAGTGCAGAAATAACCTTGACAAAGGAATGCAAGAGTTGTTAGGAGAAACATTAAAAGAAAGTAAATGACAACTCAGTCCTGGGAAAGAAAAAAGCTTGGGAAAAAGATTCAAAATAACCCTACATTGATTATGTTTGGTATAAGATGGGCAGAGGAAAGCTCTGGCAGGCTTTCAAGCTATTGTTATGACACCCTACAACAGTATAGTAGTATTCTTGTAATCCTTGTGATGTGTGTTTCCTGATCTGGCCTACCTCAAAAGATGGACAGGTAAGCGTGACACTTAACAATGGAGAAGCTGCCTATCAACTTCTCTCAGACAACAGATTGTGCTAGCATGCAGATGATTTGGTCACAGTCCTGCTCCATTTCATGAAGTGCAGGAGCTTTGTATTTAAATTGCTACATTTTAAAAAAAATGATATATACAATCACAATTTATGCAAGTTGATATCTTCTTTTGCCCCCCCCCTTTTTTTTGTAATAATATGCAATGTCCACCTTGAGAATGGGGGAGCCAGGGTTAGTGTTACCTTTCATCACTTGTCCTCAGCTTCATACATGTGAGGTAATGGGGAGAGAGGAAAGAATGATGGGGAAGGCCCTGAACTGATGAAGCATTTTTCATCTCTCCCTCCAAGGCACCTGCTGAATTCCTGAACCTCTTCCAGACGTCTCAACCTGGGAACCTGCTTTATGAGATACTAGTGTTTGTGGAACGACTTAGTGAAGGGCGCCAGTCTCCACAGTACCAGTCAATGCAGTGGGAATACAGCGATAACTCCCTCCATGAAACTATCTTTGGCGACAATTCCCGTCTCTCTGACCGCTTGCTGGCTCTCATTATCCATCCTGAAGAGGAGGTGCAGTCTCAGGCTTGCAAAGTGATCCTCAGCCTGAGGCTCAACAAGGAAGAAAGCAGGGCCAGCATTGGGCATAGTTTGGGGTCTGAGACCAGTGCTTACCCTCTTGAATCCACTAGACAAAGCCAGGTTGCAGATGCCTCCCTTGACGACCAACCTTTAATTCCAACTGTCCCCTCCTCTGATGCTCCTCAAAATGAAAGTGGTCACAGCTTCGTACCGCTCCAGGGCACCAATGAGACTGGCCAAAGCTTCCATCCCCTTGAGAGAGCTGACCCCAGCTTCCACCCCCTTCAGAGTATCAGTGTGGAGAGCAGTGGCCACGTCGTGGAGGAACCCAGGGATAGCTTTCACTCTCCCCCAGCTGCTAGCTCAGATGACAGTGACAACAGCATTTGAAGGGGGCAGTTGTGCAGAGGAAAAAGAGACTAATAAATGTGTTGGCAAACAGAGGAAAATGCCTTTCTGTCTCTATGTAAAAAATCACAAAAGAGACAGATATTCTAGCTTCTCCCAAATCAGAAAAGCGCTTGTCTGAAGAGTTTAAAAAATCAGTACCTTTTCTTCACTGATATGGTGAACACTAACCATGTCCTCTCTATTATATATTTAAAGTTTGGAGCATTGGAAACACCATTCAGTGTTTTTGCTCCAAAACTACATTCATACATTACACCTTGCAAAAATCTGGCTGGCTTAGCGTATTATAGCTTGGGATATTGTGTAAACCCAGTCAATTGTGATGAATAAATTAAGCCATGGTTAAGCTAACCATAGCTTAGCACAGCCTGTAAACCAAATCCAAATCTTTGTAGATCTGCAAACACAATCACTCCTGAAGATGTTTTCTTAAAACCATGCCACAAGCACAAGAAAAATGGGCCTGAAGGAAATCTGGTGTGATACTGTATTAAGAAACTTGTATGTGGATGCTACAGCTTGTTTGAATTGTTAGTCTGATATTGGTTTAATAATTTTACACACACCATTGAGGAGCTTCATATTTAGGCATCATGAGCACTGAATGGATTCTTCAATGAAACCTACATGCAGAGTTGTCTTGAGCCAACATCAAGCCAGGTTCCCTTAATTTAGTGGCTGGCACTTTTGCATATAGAGAGCCAGTTTGATAGTATGGTTAAAGCACTAAGCTAGAAACCAGAAAAGTGTGAGTTCCAGTCCTGCCTTAGGTACAAAGACTTTGGGGTGACCTTGAGCCAGTCACTCTCTCTCCACTCTGGGAAGAAGGCAAAGGCAAGCCGCTTCTGCAAACCTTGCCAAGAAAACTGCAGGGACTAGTCCAGGCAGTTTACAGGAGTCAACACTGATTCAAAAGCACAAAAACCTTTTCCAGGTACAACCAACCCATTGAAAGGGTTTATTCCAGTTTGGGAATGTTGAAGGTTCCCCAGATATAAGAAGTGAAGGGAGTAGAGGCTGAGACACACATGGATCCTGTTCCCAGAGGTCCAGTTGACACCAACTCTGGCATCTTTTTGTAAAGCTGTGAAATGTTTTCCCAGGGCTTTTGAGAGAGTTACTTGATTGTTGGATTGGCACTGGTGGTTATTATACCATCAGAAGAACATTCCTGATGAGAACAGTTGACAAACAGGTGCCAGCAGGTGTAGGAACATAAGCCCTATTACTAGTGACTCTGTAGTCAACTCCAGGAGCCCTGCAGCATAGAAGTGGATGGGGAAGACAAGAAGGTTCACAAAGCCGGAAATTCTACAGGCCAAGTACTGGTAAGGTACTGGACAGAAGGAAGTCCCGAGGAAGTCAAAGAAGCCAATGGTGAAAAAAAAGAAAAATCCCTGACTATAGCCTTCAAGAAGGAAGAAGCAAATAACACCAGCCTCCACTCAGCACCTGGTCTACTGAGGCCATGCAAGCAATACTTAGTTTATTTATTTATCTATTAAATTTATATCCCACCTTTCCTTTAGGAGTTTAAGACTATGGGACAAAGGGGGTGGGAAGGACTAGGGATAAGTTGAAAGACTCAAGATAAATAGCCCAGACAGAGTTAAAAGGGAAAATAGATTGAAGTAGTTCAGATAGGTATGAGGGTTGAATGAAAAGTAATGTGTCCAATGTTATAAATGGCCAACAGATGGCAGTTCTAATGTGCTAGAAGCGGCGACGTGCTCTTTAGCAGGTTTTTTCATTTCAGCTGGTGGGGAGTTGCTACAAGAAAAGGTTGTGTTGCCATTGTTTGTGAAATGGAAGCCTGCAATGAGTGTTTATCAGTGTACTTTAAGCAATGTACCATGACTGAATTTTTGACTGCCAAAGGAGTCTCTCCAGTCGATAATCGCTGCTGAATGCAAGTTGTCTATGGTGATGACTGTGTTGGTGTGAGTACTGTGTGTGACTGGACCACAAAATGTACTGGGCATCTTTGATTTCCTCAGGACTTCCTTCTGTCTGGTACCTTACCAGTACTTGGCCTGTAGAATATTGGGCTTTGTGAGCCTTTTTGTCTTTGCAAAAAAGACAATAAAAAGGAAAGAAAAGATCAGAACATTTCCTTGCCAGCAATCATCACCCAGATAAGCAGAGATTAACACCAAGATTAACACCAGACAGACAATCAAGCGGTAAACAATACCCTAATCAAGGAATTACCAAGAAAAAAAAAAAAACCCACACTCCCACCAACACTGGCAGGGCAAGCCACTGTATATAAACAGAGAGCAAACCCCACTCCATTCTAGCACTGAATATGTTACCTAGCCGGGTAA